GGCAGCGACTGACGACACCAGGGCTTCGTCCAGCTGCCTTGAGAGGAAGAGGAGTCGTTCTGCCAGGAAGACCGTTCTTGGGGGGCGTCCGGTTGCTGGGGCAAGTGCCGAGACTTCAGCCCCAGTTGTACAGATATTGGATGCAGTGGGAAGGGGGGGGGCTAGTGCAGGGAACTGTTCCACGCAGGACTGGGTGTGCCAGACTACTGACAAACCCAGTTCATCTGCCCCATAAAGTCTGGCTGGACCCTATCTGAGCCTGTAGGGTGTACAGAGGCTGTGTTGAAAGAGGCACTCCCCAGCTCCCACTCAGTGAGATGAGCCTAGCCAAGAAAAAAATTATATCCCACAATAATGACAGTGTGACCTTGTTTGATCCCCACAGAATGAGCTCATTGTCAGAATGAGTATTGGGGACAGACCGGCCCCTACCCTATGGATGTTTGGGACTAGAGTTCTTATTCGCTCTAGCTAGTTGTGGCCAAACGATCGAGGACGATGGGACCTGTAGTCCAGAATATCTGGGGATCGCCAGATTGCCCCCCCCCCTCGTGCACTCTTTCCTTCGTAATAGAAACACAGCACTCATAAAGGTGGATCCATCATGGCCCCCCGGCATTCCTTGCCTTTACTTTCAGGGCTCATGAAAACGGACTGGATTTTAAAAGACAAGGTTACAAAGAACCATTCCTTCCCCCCCCCACTCGCTCTCCGGTTGCAAGACCAAAGACTGTAAAGCCAACTATATCCTGCTACATGATGAGGCAAAACGCTCTTCTGTTCCAAGGTCAATGGTCATTTAATATTTGAAGGGAACAGCAGATGGCTTGAGCTCGTTTTAGACCGTCTTTCTCGGAAATGCGCACATCCTGTGTAAGCTGGGCTCGGGTGTTGGTTTTCTCATTTTCTCTGCCACTTTTTCCATTGTAGGTCATCAAATGGCCATGTGTCTTAAACACAGAACAGGTGGAGACTAAAGACAACAGTGTGGCAACCCTTGGAGGGGCAGAGGAAAAAAGCAAGATTTTTTTTTTTAAGTATGTTAGAGCAGCGCTGATGTACTACGGTGCTTAGGGGGAAAAATTAAATGGGAGTAGAGAGGAGGGAGCAAGGAGAGTTGTTTGCTTGTTTCTTGTGTTTCCATAAGGGAGATGAACCAAGGAGGGTTGTTTGAGGTGCATATGCTATTTGGACACAAGGATCACAATATAGTGCTGGATCTCTATCCAACCTTAAATGGCTCTTTTTAGCCTGCTCCAATATGCTCCAATTGAGTCTCCTGCCCCATTGAAAAAGAACATGGAGGCTTATAGGGCGAGGAGGAAACCAAGGGGTATAAGGAGCACTAAACGTGGCTACCCACCTTTGAAAAGAGATGAAAGGGTGACTTCCCTACTTCTATTTCAGCTGACAGTTGGAAGGAAGGAAGGAAGGAAGGAAGGGAGGAAGGAAGGAAGGAAGGGAGGAAGGAAGGAAGGAAGGGAGGAAGGAAGGAAGGAAGGGAGGAAGGAAGGAAGGAAGGGAGGAAGGAAGGAAGGAAGGGAGGAAGGAAGGAAGGAAGGAAGGAAGGAGCTGATGATGAATGGAAGGAAGAAAGAGAAAGTGGCTTTCAAATCTCTGAGACTTAGTGCTTTGTACAATGTTATTGCTTTCCTTCCATTGGAAATCTCATTATAAATGCACCGCATAGTGCATGGTGCATTTATACCCGCAGGGTATAAATACAGTATATGAAACCTGATACCAGGGGAAAGAATTATAATACATCTTGCTACCATGGAGCTTTAAAAACGAAAAGGACAAGTGAAACAAACACACCTTTGTTTCTATCAGCCTGCATTTGGGACTTCCAGGAGCCATTATCAGGAAATTATCCATCAGGGAATATCCTTGTGCTGAATTTATGATAGCACAATCTGGCTCAGTGCAGGAGGCCACCCTCGGCTGAGTGGGAGGAAACCCTTATTCCAACAATGTTATCTTCGCCATTTGGCAAGGGAAGGAAGCTCATTGGGCAGAAACACCAATATTATCCTGGAGGTGGAAGTGTACATCAGTTCTCCTTTCGACGTCAGTGGGTCAAGCTGCTTATCATGGTCTGCTGTGTAGGAGTCCCACAATTTCCCCGCTTAGAAAGGTGAACAGTGGAAGCCATTCATAACGCCCTTTGCGTGGGGCTTGGGCCAAGCTGGCATCATCACAGAGACAGCCATTGGTGGCCACACAATATAATCGAGGGCCATCATCCCCACCCCTTACAGTAGCTCTTTCCAGGTGACAAAGTCTTCCTTGCACATCCCTTATAAAAACAATTACTTAGACCTTCAGAGAATCAGGAACTTGGAACATCTCCGATACGGCTGGGTTCTGTCTTTGAGGTCGTGGGATAACAAAGTAAACCTCTTTTGCACAGGAGTTGGCCAAAGGCGTTTTGCTCTCCGAGGCAAAGTGTGAAAGGGTGCTCTCCTCACATTCTAACTATAATCAGACTAGGATTTGAACCCTGCTTCAACATTAGCAGCAGATCATTCTCCTCCACTACGCCCAGGGTGATCCTATCATGCCCGTTTGCCTCACCAAGGTATGTCTACAAGGGTGTGGAAGATGCCGTTGGGTGCCACATGACCTGCCTTGCGTGTCTAAGCTAGTTGGCCATCAGCAGGTAGAGCAGAAGGACACTATCTTGGTGCCGAATGTGGATTTAACTCCCTTCTGGTCATCTTTTGTGCATGGAATGGGTAGGAGGGTGTCTATGGACTCTCCGACTCAAGCAATGTAAATGTTTTGGGGCTCCTACGACCACAGCCCAGGATGAGGACAGCAGGTGAGCTTAGAGGGTGCCGTGTATGCTTTGAAGCACATGGGACTCTTATGCGCCTGAAATGTCAGAGAGTGTGTTCTCCACATGCTTCCTCAAAGAGTGTTTGCGAATGGTTTTTCATCATCCTAGAGCAGTGGTTCTGGGGGAATTAAAGAAGCGTGACGCGTACGCTAGCACCACCAAAGGCCAGGGGCCCTCCATTATGCAGTCAAATCCGAATATAATTATAGGGGAACCCAAGGGCCGAGATTGGCTTGGGAAAGTGACCGGAGCACAGTCCAACTCCGAAATAAATAGGACCATGAAGGGACTCCACCCTCTTTTACAATCACGCCTGTACAATCCAGGGAACACAGCAGAGAAAGACTACTACATGGCTAGCCTTTATGCCCCCTTAGATTGTCCTGATACAATCACTCGTTCCCTTTGGCACATTGGAGGGGATGCGGAGGGGAAAATATCCCTGCTCCACGGGCGATTCCAGCTGTGCCAAGAGAGGCTCCTTCTGGAAAGCAGTCATCAAGGTACCTGCGAGAGCAGCTGGACAGAATGTGCCGTTCCCGGGGTCTCTGGCGCTGCTCTCCTTGTTCCTCGATGACAATGAAGTGTTGCTACACAAAAGGCTCGTTTGGCTAATGATTAGAGCGGCACACCTAGAACTCAACCTGCGTTGAAAAGATTTAAAGGGGCTCAACACCTTCATTCCAAGCTTCGGCCCTCTGGATCTTCTGCTCGCCTCTATGCCTTGGTGATTTCCTTCCTCTTCTCCTCGGAAACGCCCCCATTATTTCCTTAAAACTTGGGAACAAGCTTTTTGAAAGCAGAGGCTGATCCAGTCACCAAGTCCAGAGCTTCCACATTCTCTTTCTTAATTAAGATAATGAATCCCAAGAGGGCAGGATCATTTCCACCTAAGGTTCCTGCTACCTCGGTTCCCCACTTCTTCCCAGTTGAGAAGGGCCAGGGCCCGGACTATCGAATCCCTGCTTTTTTAAAAATACAACTGTAAATAACTCATCATCCAAACATTTCTACCTTCTGACACATTCACCAAATTAAACGCAAAAGCAAAGAGAGAGACTTTTTTTTTAATTATTAAGATAATCCCACAGCTGGAAAATGAAACATCCTAAATTACATTAAGTGAATTTCGCCCCTTGATCATCTCCCCCCAAAAAACAACCCTCTAAGAAAAAAAAAGCTTTACAAATTTACATTTTTTTTTTTACAATACAAAAAACTAATAGCTCATTGCATATAAATATTACATTTGGTCTGCCATCATCAAGTGGCATCAAAAACTCCCTGAAGCATTTTAATTTTTTTAAAGGGACCTGAGACAACAGATGTGACAATATGAACTCAAAGCATCCCCTGAAATCAAGACAGAAGAAAGAGAAGTGGTTTGTGTGGACCACTTTCTTTTTTTTCTCTTTTTTTGGTGGAGTATTTTACTTTTGTCAAGAACACAATACACATGCATGAGATCCTTTAGACCACATAAAGTTTCCAAGCTTCCCAAGCTCAACTGTAAAAAAAAGAAAAAAAGAATAACTTGATATCTGTAAAGTCTTCTGTGATGCTTTAAAAGGGGGGGGGGAAGCAAACAATAAGCATGAGATGAAAACAAGCGTCAAAATTAGCCTTGGATATGGAAACAAGCTTGCTGAATACTTAAATTTAGGTACAGTACCACGATATTTAAATACTGACAATCGCTATCATCCTATCACACACTTTTAACCCTACTTTCTTGTGCACTTCCTGTGCAGGGGAGAGAGGGGAAAAATACGGAGGGCATGGGCCAAAAAATCTGATGATGACCATCCTTCCAGACTACTGAGAGTTTAAATATCGGAGGGAGGTTTATGAATTGTGGGCAGCAGGATTACTAGAGCTTCCAGTCTCCTTGCTTAAACGCTCTGCTCAAATCATTCATTTTTCATGCATATACGTGTTATTTATAAGCACCATTTTACATAATACTAGAGATTAAGGCCATGACAGAAACACCACTGGAAAATACAGAGCACGATCCGGCAGGCGTCTTTTCCTGGGCATGCACCTTTCAAATGAATGGGGCCAAAGCAACGCTCGAGAGTGCTTTCAATGGGACGTAGCCAATAGCGTTTTCACGGGGAACCACAACACATTAATTTGTTTTAGGCTGACACCCAAATATATTAAACATATTTATTCAAGTGTTTTCTTTTTGTACCTTAATGATCTCCTATTTTTTAAAAAAGTAACTTCTTAAAAAATTGCAGACAGCGATCACCGTTCTAAAATCCTTTTCCCCAAGAAGTATAAACATTTCGGAGGAGTAATATGTGAAAAGCTACCTCTTATAAATGCACAGCCGCATACAATACATACCTCTCAAGAACTCTTATGAATCTCCTAGAGATTCTATTTGATCATCCAGATGTTGAACAGAGGCTCTTTCACCAATAAATACTTAGTTGTTTTTACAAAAAATCAAGTCCTCGAGACATTTTATAGTATCTGTTACGAAATCATTGCACGTAACTTTAGAAGCATTAACATGGCAATAAACACCGAGTGGAAGCAGTTGGAAGATAAAGCTGGTGAATTATTCCTCTGCCAGTCCCTCCCTTTTTGTCCCCAAATATGACCAAAATTCCTCAATTTTATTATGAGTACATTAAAAAAAAGCCCCACCTCTGCATGATTTGGATTAATACTGAGAGATGACCTGGAACCAAGGTTTTAAAGGTTGCCAAACAACAGCCTGTAGGATGTGGCAGGCAGATGTGTTCCTGCCATGAAACAGCTAGAACCATTTTGGTCTTTGATCCTCAGCAACTATTGCTATTTTAAGATTCAAAACTACTTGGGCACAGAGAAAGAACAAGAAGTTCAGGTGGTTTGTTTACATCTTAAGAAGAACGGAAGGTTTAGTTCCTACGAACGACCCAAAATGTTATAATTTCCCATGGGGAGGAGATCCGTGCTGGATGACACTAAGGAACAGAGAAAACCTGTCATGGGTCTTATGAATGCATGCAAAAAATGTCCCAGCTTCTTTGTGTCTTGATGGGAAAACTTTTGGGTGGCACATGGGAGGGGGAGCGCAATTAGTCTGATTTGGTCTGATATTTAAGATGCTCTGCCACACTTTGGATGATTTTTGACAGTAGCTCAAGATTCACTTGCCATGTAAAGATTGCAAAATGCTAAATTATCATCTAAGCAGGTGGATAAGCCCTGCATCTTGACCATGGCCTGTTGAATTTCTAGTGATACTATACTGGTTCCCACCCTGTCCTTTTAAAGAGACCATTCTCAAAATACATGGGCCAAATTGCATAAGCAGCCTAGAGCCTCAAAATGGCAGAAGCACCATGAGTGGAGAGAGTCACCCCCAAGCAAGATGGGATATTCAGATGGAATGGAACCATTACATTTCCCATTTCAGCCAGATTCATGATGGATCCCCCGGCCTCCTGGGAGAACGCCATAAAATTTGCCAAACTCTAATGAAACCCAATACAGTTTTCTTTCTACCAATTGGTAGAAAGAATTTGGTATCAATGGAATGGAGTCATTAGCTTATTGCCAGTGAGAACCATTCCGTATTAATATTAGGGTGCCTACAACTTCGCAGAGCAAGAACAAGAACACAAGGCTTTGGGGTGGGAGAAAATAACAAGACTAGGAAGCTGCAGAGATTGGAACAAAACCGGCCGAGAATGATTGGAGCAGCGTTCAGAAATCAAGGAGTAAACCAAAATGGAAGATTCAACGGGATTAGGACATTAAGCATTCAAGCACAGAAGGGAAGAGATGTCACGGAAAGATTAAACTGAGAAGCAAAAGAGAGGAGACCCACTGTCAATTGTTAAGCCAACAAATGGGGATGGGAGTACACTGGACAGTAACTTGGTTTACATCTCTCCTCCCCCACAGCTCAATCTTTTTAAGACTGGGAATTTCCTTGGTCATACCTTGAATGCCCCGAAAACAGACAAAATTAATCTGCAGAAGTGGCTAAATGTGTGTTATTGATTCATCTTAAACACAAAATCCAATTGCAATGAATCTGGCCCTACAAGGGGATAATACTGGCATCGCCAAAAACATATAGGGTGCTTACTAGGTTCAGGCCTTGGATTGCTGAGGTATCAGATTATGTTTTAAGAGGCAGCACTGTAAATCTTCCACCCATATTCTAAATTAACTGTTACTAAGACAAATGTAATAGTTTTGGGTCCCACCACCACCAAGGAAAGATTTCTCATGTTGAAGCAACAACTAACACTTCAATAACGGGAAAAAGCAGGCAGACAAACATTATATGGCCTTAGATCACTAAAGTAACACCAATTGCCTCCATACTACTTATGTGTGGATTATACCATGGAAGTGAAAGCACCATATGTTCTTTGGCCGTGGTGGAGCAGGTGGGAGAATCTAGAGAAGATGCTCTCTTTTAAAATGCACACCTGGCGTTTGAAATGGAAGACTCCTTGACTCTGATCTCAAGCGAGAGCATTTTAGGGTCACAAATACAGAGATTCCTGCATCCGAAGACAGTTCTACTAATTTCAAGAAACCCTTCTAATCCATACGTGCGTGGGTCCAAGTGTTGGTACGTGTTGGGACAGAGAAGGCTCCATGAGTCCCTCAGGCCTTCCATGGGAAGAACGTCTCTCTAAATCATGGCCAATGTGCGGCAAACATGACTCTCTGAATTTCATCTATGAATAAACTGTACATGAATGCTCGACTCTACAGTATATTATTCACCAATGCCATTTGTCATTTTTTGGCCTTGACAACCCTTAGCAATCTGCCACATGTCCTTCCTTGACAGATTTTAATGTTTTTAGTTCTGGAACCAAAGCCGTGTGTGTACATCTTAATGGCACACCATAAATAAAGAGCCTACTTCATTTCGCGGATGTTTGTCCACCTTACTGACCAAGTGGAAAATAAGTTTATGGGGCAGAGTAGGAAAATAAACTCATACGTGATTTCTCCGATGAATTAATTTTGGCTTTTGGGCTTTCCCCCTTCATTCCCTCAAACCTCCTATGCAATATTTCATACCGTGAATTGCAAACAAGCAACCAAAGAAAGAAAGAAAGAAAAAACCCACCCAATTTTAAGAGGGAAAAAAAATCGTACAATTCAGAATGTAATCAAAGCTCAGCCATGAGAAGCAAGAAAACGCTTTTCTGTTTTGAGATTTCCCTTATTGTGTGACAGATCTTCATGTAGTGATAAAAACTACGAGAGCCCTATGTGATGCTTTTTTTGTTCTCAATATCCAACCGCGTGCTACCACTCCAATCTAGAAACTCATAAGTGCGTCAAACCCTCTGTTCAATGGAGGAAGCCAGTCAGCAAAGCTCAGTGGCCCAGCTGGGGAATGGAGGTGCACCTGGGAGGTTCAGCACCATGTACTGGAGCACCCATACCAACTACCACTCTCTGGATGAGAGCATATGTCTTCTTTCCAAAAAGCTTGAGATGTTATGACTGTTGAATGCACAACACACACACACACACACACACACACACACAGACACACACACACACACACACACACACACAGGAGATGCCAACAGTATAATGGTATTGACATTATCTGTTGAAATTTTAAGGGTCAGAACAGAGATAGAATGTGTGCACAGTCTGCTCACTATCCGAACCAGCTAATCTGCAAAAAACATACGATTGTCAATTGTTAAGCCAACAAATAGTTATTTTGGAGCTTATTGAGAGATTTCACTCCTGCCCTTTAACCTACTGCAGCCTTGTTACTGAAAAAATCAATATATATCTTTTCCCCCCTGTACAGTTAGTATTATTTGCAAGTCTGAACTAGAAGGGAAATATTTTTTGGGGAAAAGGTGTTGATCAATGTTAAAAAAACATGAGGATGGCAGAAAGCAAAGGAGAAGAAAACCTTTGCATTTGGCACCTGTGTGTTTGGGTATCTGTAGGTCTCAAGTATTCTTTTTACAATAACGTTAATACATCTCACATTAAATGTTTGCTACATATTTACAAGGCACCAATCCTCTCCTCTCTCTTTTTTTAAAAAAATTATGAATTAAGAACCAAGTGGGGAAAGCATATCAGGATACTCTAAATATGGAAAGCTTCCACTTGTCACAAATTCATAAAAGTTTGGCCTGGGAAGATCAACATAATCCAGATCCTGCACACAATCGAGAAACTGTAAACATTTTATAGCTGCCGTTAGGATCGGTGTGTTGTGCAAAAGTTATTATGGTATGTAAGGAATTCATGGCCAACGCTGCCTTAAAAAACTCTGTAAAAAGGTGCTGTTCCTATAATGCACACAAAACCCATGAAAGACTTCGTAAAGCATGATTCAAATGCCACATTCCTGTGACCAACTCAAGGTGTAGGTGTGGGACGCACACCTGCAGATGACAGAAATTGTGGGTAAGGCTTCTTCTGACCAAAAATGGGTGGCAATCAGAAGTCTTTGAACACACACACATACACACACACACACAAATCCAGATGGGCAAAAAAATGGAAAAGCACCACAGAAAGATGTGAGTGGAGTCCCTCCCCCCCCCCCCCACAGTTTGCTTAGTAGATTTTTTTTTCTGGCAAAAAATCCCTGCAGTAGAAAAACCTTTGAAGTCCTAACACCATCGTTCAGTTCGGTCGCTACCCCTTTCGTCAATAGTTCCATCCCATGAGGTGGCTGACTCTGGCCTTTTCGGTCATTTTCCGTACCCTGCCCGACCGGGAAGTACCAAGATTCAGGGGATCCTCCGTGTGCACAAAAGTGTCATTGTCTGAATCGTCGTTATACAAAACGGTCCGCCTGCCCTCGTTCCTAGTTTTTATCCGGGGCGGCCGACTAAATCGCCCGCCGAACGTGTTCTCGTTGAAGCGGCCGCCGAAAAGGTTCTCAAATTCGTCATCGGCGATCCGCGGGCGCTTGGCTCTGGAGGCTCCCCTCCCTCGGCCTCTTCTTCCTCCCCGGCCGCCTCTTCTTCCTCGGGGGCAGCCTCTTCCTCCTCGGCCGCCCCGCCCGCCTCGGCTCCACCTCCCCCAGCGTCCCCATCGGCCTCGCCTTGACGTTCCCCTACCCTGCCAGTTCCGCGGTCCGTTGGAGAGGCGCCTTCGAAGCTTCTTCCTCAGGTTCACTGGGGCAGCTTTGCTGTAGTCATGGTCGCCATCGATGTAGTCCTGATCCGTTCTTGAGTTCGACTCGGAGTCCGAATCGGAACCACCTCTGCTTTCAGAGCTGGAGCCTGAGTGAGAATCCCCACTCTCTGAGGAGGATACCCTTGGCTTCTCTTTCTGTTCTCTTTTCTCCTCTTCCTCATCGGTGTGTTCATCATCTTCCGATGCACTGGACAGCTTTCGCTTGATGGCCGCACGGGGCTCTCTCCCATCACCGTTTGTCAGGGGTTTATCTGAAGGCTGATCTGCAGAAATTAAAACAGATATACTGTATTTGTCCATGTATAAGATGCCCCCATGTATAAGACACCCCCATGTATAAGACGCCCCCATGTATAAGACTTTTCTAATCCAAAATTAAGAAAAATAAATGGGGCTTAGCAAGTGTAGGGGGAAAGGGATCAAAGCGCTGCAGGATCGCTTTGATCCCTGCTTTCCCCTCCACTTGTCTTTGTTCTCTCCTCAGCTTACTTCCGTGTATAAGACAACCCTCAATTTTTAGTCTAAAGATTTTAGACAAAAGTATAGTCTTCTACACGAAAAAATACGGTATATATAAATGTTTCTTTCAACTGGGAAGCAACCAGTTGTTTCTCTCAACGATCTCCTGCTCAACGCATTTTTATGCCAACTTGGAACCTCCCAGTTCTGCCTGGATTTGCAACCCAGGGGCTTTCAACTTCTCACCGAGCAACACTTGCCGTCTGGTAGGTGACCTCACCCTAAAGGCATCTGCAGAATTGGCCACCTTGTGAAAAGCCAGCACAAGTCTCTGCCACCGAAGACAATGCTATGTTTTGCAACATTCCCAAGCAGCGTGTCTGTCACTGATTCCCAGAAATGCTTGTACTGAAAATAGCATAATCTGTGCTTGGGTTTATGGAGTTTGGGGAGCTGCCTTATCATGGCGGCCGTTGAGCCCTCCAGTGGCCTCCCTCACAGAAAAATCATGGCACATTTTTCATTGCCCTGTGGCTAAACAACTGAGAGATAAAGACAACTGAGCTATAGAAACAATCCAGACAATAGGATCAGAGGCACTGGATACATTTACTTTCCATATTAAACAATCATACAACATGGCGGATATACAAAACCTCAGAACTGTGATTTTGTAGCTGTTTCCCCACCTTGCTTGAACGGTGTGGCTTTATTTCTGACTATCCTATTTTTCCCAGGTTCGACATCATTTCCATTCCGATTCTGGACATTTGAGCCAGAGGAAGACGGGTGACTTTCCATCTCTTCTGCAGTGGCTGAGCCGTGCGGTTCCTCAGTAGTATCTGAAACTGGAAACAGGAGTTCACCGGCTTGGCAACAGAAGCAAAATGACACCATTTAGAGGGGGAAAAAAGGAATTTTAAAGGAAAAGCACAGTTCAAAGTTTGGCTTAGAAGGAAGGCAAGCAGCCCCCATATCCTGCCTGGAAAAGGGTCCCTAAAGAAACTCTACTGTTGGACCCCCTTATCCGCAGGGGATTGGATCCAACCTCCCCCCGTGAATGCTGAAAAAATGGTGAACACTATTTTAATAGCAAACACTTAAATAGCATGGTCTCAGGCTCCATCTAATGGCCAGTCCTGGTAACTTCAGAGTTGAATATATATTCCCCTAATATTTTTAATATTTTCCGAACATGGATAAGCAAATTAGTGGATACTGATCCCACGATTAAGGGGATCCTACTGTAATTATACCTCTCCCTGTAAGAATCAGTGTTCTGCAAGAATTTGAGACCAGAAGATATTATCTTAGATTACAGAGAGACTACCAGGTTTCATGGTATGCATGGCAGACGGCAATAGATTTGAGAGGGGGAAGCTGGCATGATCCCCTAATGCACTGGTTCACAGACATGGATCCATAGTTGATGCTGAGACTCTCTTCTTAAAAGCTTTAGTCAGCCTGGGCAAAGCTCAGGGATCCTAAGAGCATCTGGGGAACAACCGGGACTGAAAACAGCCACTCGGATGGCTTGATAGCAGTTCCCTTGGCTAGAATGGCAAGTGCACCAAGGGAGAAACAAACAGAATCCAAATATGCACATGGGGGGGGGGAGGGAACAGAGTAGGGATCCAAAACCAAAGCCGCTGCTTCTCAGCCATTAAAAAGGGGGTGGTGGCACCTACAGGGTCTGGACTGCTTAAATGAAAGCCAGTGAAGCGGCCGAGCGAAACAAAAGGCACTTACCGTGAGATGAAACTGAAGAATTAGTCCTAGTTAAAGGCAATGAGGTATTCGAGTTTGTTTTAGGCGGCATCTTCAGCGGCTTTTGTTTTCTTTTGGGGCTAAAGGCGTGGAAAAAAGGGTCACGCGGTAAGATCATTCAGCTCTAAAACACTTCTGAGCCCTCACCCCACCCCACCCCACCCCGCAAGAAGAATCCAAGAAACTCCATGACCTCCTTTATCAATAGTCAGGATGTGATTAGGTATCCAATTTTTGTCGCTCACTTTGGAGACAGAAGGATTAGACACCGGTCTGGTTCCCACATTGCACTGACGGCGCCCAACGGTGTCTTCTGTTATAGCTCAGGGGTTCCCAACCTTCCTTCCCCGGGTGTTCTTGGACTGCAACTCCCAGAAACCCCAGCCAGCATAAGTATATCCGGGGACCCCAGGCTGAGAACCACGCTCACAGCCGTAGGCTGCATTTCCCCTCTTTCCCTCTGCAAAGATGCTGGCTCTTATTTTCTTGCAGCATGTAAGCCCTGCAAGTGCCAGCAATACAAGCCAACATGAACACCTACGCACGTCAGTAATCTCGGTTAGTTACCTGGATGGCCGGCTGCTGGAGGAAGAGCTGCTGCTACTCCGGAGTTGTTTCCGGTACCGCGGCCGTGACCGCCGCCTCTTCTGACACTGCACAGCCGACTTGTACTCAGAAATAATGGTTTTAATGTGATTTTCAAATAAGGCAGATAAGCGGAGTGTCATGCTGTAGATCTGAGGTAGGTGGGAAAGAAAAAAAGGGAGTGACAGATCATCTTTGGGTCTACTCAAAGGGTTGTTTCAAGGTTGTGGCTGCTACAGAAGGCCCTGAAATGGTAATTAACCCACCAGACACAGGAAGCTGCCCTGCACTAATTAATCACCTAGGGGGAGGATTTCTATGACATGTCACACTTTCTCTGCAATCTATACTTGAACCCAACAAGCAAGTTTAAACATGTTTTATAAAGTAATCTGGCCTTTCTCGCCAGATTACTCATAAAGATGTCCCAATCCAATTATAAATTCAAACATAGGCTGCAGGAAAAAAAAATGACATGTCATAGAAATCATTTCCCCTACGCTCAGGCCATTTGTTCAGCTAGGCTAGTCCAACCCAATGATGTCTCTCACCTGTCTACAGCTTTCTGGGATCTATGATTATGTATTTATTTGTTTGTTTATAATATTTTAAGCCTGCCTTTCTCCTTAAAAGGGCCCAAAGTGGCTTAGATAATTAAAAAGACAATATTTAAAAATCTAAAAAACACTAAGTGTACAGATATTTAAAAAGAATTAAATATTGTATTAAAAACGGTAAATCAAATCAATATTAAAAATCTATTTAAAAACAACAGAGCCCAACAATCCATTAAAAAAAACCCTTTCCAGACCACCAGTCACTAGGAAAACACCTGCCTGAAGAGAAAGGACAGCGAAGATGGGGCCAGTCTGGCTTCCTGTGGGAGGGAGTTCCACAGTCTGGGAGGGGCCGGAGAGAAGGCCCTTCTCTTGTGTCCCCACCAGAGGCACCCGTGAAGGTGGTGGGACCGAGAGAAAGGCTTTCTCCTCTGAGGATCTGAAAACCCCGGGCAGCCTCATCGAGGGTTCTCATCAACGGTGTACCAGATCCTTTTATCCACACACACCAGCGACTCAACTTGCAGCCTTCCGAGTGCAAAACATGTGATCTACTGCTGCGATTCAGAACCTCCTTGAATTAGTCTATACAAGGAAGCACAGCTTTCCCATTCATCACAGTGGGCTGGAATGCATCAAAATCCCTGGGGCACTTTTTCACACCCACCTGCAAGCTTGGCGCTGGGTGCAGGAATCCTCTTGAAGATACCTGCCTTTTCTTCTTCCCACGCCACCAGAAAAGGACATGAACTCAAAACCCCAAGGATTCAGATGAAAAGTCTGGTTTTATTAGCTTCCTGCCACGAAGGGGAACAAGCTATAGCCCCATTCAGTTTTTTTAAGGGCACACTCTTGTTGCTAATTGCTTAACAACACCGGACACAAGGGGCCTGCAGAGGATGGTTCACCCTTGCATCTGTTAGAATGCCTGAGATCTTGAAGAAGACAAACCACCACGTAGAAGGAGGTGGATGGCTAGGGTTGCTACAGAAGGAACTGGATCAGACAAGCCATTTCAGCTTAAGGATAGAAAGCTCTTTAAACTGCTATTCTGCTTGCCTGGCACATTTCAAACGGGACAGGGCTGTGTACCACACACACACTCTTGCATCTTACCCTTGATTTTTTATTAGGTGTGTACGCTTTGGAGTTGCAGAATATCAAGCGGACATCTTTGTAGAATTCGAGGGGATTTGTGTAATTACCCGCTTCTAGAGTTTCCTTCACAGTGCTGAAGTCCATCGGCGTGTCCACAATGTCTCGGTAATCCTACAAACAACATTTTATGCCTTGACAGACAGAACATTTTTCAGAAGTGGCCCAAATTATTTCTGGGAACCTCTATGACCCATCCAAATCTAAAGTGATTTTAGGGTAGAAATATGTCTCCAAACCATTCCACATCCCTGGCATTCGCGGGATGTGACAAAGAGGACATCGGTCCGCTTTCCTACGTTGTTCTGCTCTAACAGTTAAGAAGTTTTTCCTGATAGTCTAAATCTGGCTTCCTGTAACTCTAGCCCATTACGATGGGTCTTGCCTTCTGTGAGCCTTCTTTAGATCTGTTTTTCTTGGATTTTGTTTGGGACAAAAAATACGCACCTAAGCACAGGAGATCCGTTGGGAGTTGGGGGCTGGATGTATCTGTCTATGGAAAGAGAACCTGGGATCGTAGTAGGCTGAGATTTCAGACCATGATTTCATACCGTATGGGCAACCATGTCCTAGATAAACTCGGCTGTGAAACCGCCTCCGTATTCTGCAATGAAAAGTGGATCCTGGGAAGGATCCTGCCCTGCCTTTGAGCTTAGAAGGTTAGCTATGCAGTATTGCCACAGGCGGCAGTAAAAAGATTAGGTAAGCACTGCCTATTTCGAAATACTGAACACGGATTGTCCGCTGCTTACGAAATTACTTGACACACCTCATGTAAAACGTAACATTCCATAAAGGCCACCACCCGAGGCCAGTCTCCGCAGTCAAAAAGCACAGCTTGTTTCAAACTTAAACCTAAAGAAAAAATCCATTTCAGGTTGTCCCGAGAGGACACACCTTCTGGCCCCTGCTGACTTTTGAGATGGCTAAAGGGACAAGACACCCGCACACATTTTGCACACATGTATCTATTGGGTTCTTCTGCGCCGTTAGGAACAGGGGCGTCTTTTTTCTTTTTCTTCTTAAACAAAAGCTGATGGTCTGTGCCATTCAAAGCATTTACATAAAGATGAGCAGACGCAGTATAGACGCACACGTCAATTAAAAAAGCAGGCAGGACAGGGTTGTTTTCTTGCAACGGCAGCACACCGACACAGCCTCCGGGAATCAATGCAAAAAACCTATTCTAAGAATCCAGTCTCTTGCCTGTTTATTTTTTTTTTCAAATCAGGCTCCTAAAGTAGAAAGGACGTAGGTGGGCAAATATGAGCAAACAGGGAATATTGAGAAGCGCCCCCCCCCTGAGGGTGCGCATGCGAAGGGATGAGATAGGGGTCTTGTTGCTCCACACAGATGCCTCGGCCCTGAAATCAAGCGTGACAGAACTTACGGGGTAAGAAAAGAGATCCACGGGTTGTCGGAAGGGCTCGGAGTCTTCACGTTCGTAGATCAGGCTTAATAACTGCTTGCACTGTTCTTTCCAGGCCTCTGCACTTCCTTTGGAGAGCTGACGTTTCACCTGATGCTTTACCTGAAGACATTTAAAAAGGAAGCAAAACCCACGTTTGAGGATTTATTTTAAAAAAGTGTACTTCCACCTCACATCTTGTGACTAGAACAACAGGACATGAGGTTATGCCTGATGCTACGTATAGCCTTGTCTCTGGTTCCCTTCGAGTCTGGCATCTAAGATAAAAATGTAAAACCTTGCTGATCAATCCTTCCATCTGATTTCTTAAATGAACACTCCATACTCCGTAAGTTACTTTTACAAATTACCTTTTCAAAGTCACCTGTGATCAATACCCTTGGGCAAATAATTAAAAGCCACAGAAAATTCAATGGATTCCACCCTCCACCCCCGAAATCAATGATAAGCAATTAAATCTGAATATCTGTTTCACAACCAGTTTCTGGCCCTGAACGGTAACGAAGCGGTACTCACACTTCTTTTTCCAGATGAGGTTCCTGGGCCATCTGAATCTGCGTATACTTCTGCCACCTGAAGGACGGTGTAATTAAGGCATGCCAAAAACCAACAACAATATTAAAAGACATTTACAAGAGAAAACAAGGGATGGATGCAAAAACAGGAAGACACCCCCCCTGCCACAACCAAATTACTCTCTTACGATGGATAACGAGAAGCAGTTTCTTGTAATTATGAAATCAGTGTGGTTTTACAATCTAGTGAGATTACTTAATGCTGGGAAATAACTGGGAAAAACCCTAAATTTTGAAAAGAGGTGTCTACTTCAGATCTAATATATTTTAGACGTTATTACTTTTACAGAGTACAAACAAAAGCATATACAAGGGAATGGAATACAAATGTCTTAAAATACCCATAAACCCTCCCCAAATAATTAAATTACATCATACAAGCAGATTAGAGATGGGGCCAAACCACTAGTTCGGTGGTTCAGCTTGGTTCGTTTACCACTGCAACAGGGGTTTGGCGGTTCGGTGCCACGCCCCCTCCAAGAGGTGTCCACTCAGAAGCAGCGCCCGGAAGAGGTGGGGCAGAGAAGCCACCCCATTGCCTCTGAGTGGCCATCCACTCAAGGAAGCAGGACAAGAGAAGCTGGGGGGGGGGGATGGAACAGCTGTGCAGCTGAATAGCCAAACCACCGGGCCTATACGTTGGAAAGCCAGTGGCTTGAAATGAAGGAAGGCAGTTCTCTGGCTGCATGCTTTGTATACAAAAGTGCCAGGTTAACTCTTGGACATCTCCAGGGGAGGCTGAGAAGGACCCCTGCCGGCTGGTGTACATACGAGCCTTCCTCAACCATGCATTCTCAAAATACATTGGGTTACAACCTCCATCACCTTCAGGAAGGCCCAACAAAGGCAGAGGCACCTTTGTTACCTTTCCAGATGTGTTCAGCTGCAAGTCCAATACTAAGTGACAATTGGCCATGGTGGAAGAGGTGTCATTCAAGAGTGGAAGGAAACCCCTGACCTCTACTGCCTTATTTTTTTTTAAAGGCTCCATGTACAAGCTGCATTGTCATAAGGAAGACAGAGGAACTGAAAATTGTGATAACATTTGGTGGATTCCCTATGTGCTGGAACAGGCAGTACAGTACAAAATATTATTCCGGTTTTAGAAATATGGCTTTTGAAAATGAACAGCTCTTGAAAAAGCAAGCTACTAGTCCTCAGAAATGGGAAGACAGATTGTCCTTTGAAGTCCTGCATGATTACTAGTTGCTCACCATAATTGTTCCAGCAATTTATTTTTTAAGTCGCTTTTCCTTCTTACCTCCTCTTCATCCTCTGTGCTGCTCAAGTCTTCCGCTTTCACTTTGTTATAGGTCTCCAAAATATCCATACAGCTCTGATCCCTGAAGAACAGCAAAAGTTAGCCGCATCAGAATGAGTAAACAAGGTATGTCAAGAAGGTAGGTTGTACAACTGCATAGCTGCTCACTAACAGAAGGACAGTTCCAGAGAAGCAACCTGTTCTTCCTCACGGTCTCCCTAACCAGCAAACCTGGACAATTTTTGTCCAGTCGTGTTCGACTCTAGGGGGCGGTGCTCATCCCCGTTTCCAAGCCATAGAGCCAGCGTTTTGTCCGAAGACAATCTTCCGTGGTCACATGGCCAGTGCGACTTAGACACGGAATGCCGTTACCTTCCCACCGAGGTGGTCCCTATTTATCTATTTGCATTTGCATGCTTTCGAACTGCTAGGTTAGCGGGAGCTGGGACAAGCGACGGGAGCTCACTCCGTCACGTGGATTTGATCTTACGACTGCTTGGTCTTCTGACCCTGCAGCACAGGCTTCTGCGGTTTAGCCCGCAGCGCCACCACGTCCCTTTGTACAACTGCATAGCTGATCACTAATAGAAGGGCAGTTCCAGAGAAGCAACCTGTTCTCCCTCACGGTCTCCCTAACCAGCAAACCTGGTTCCTGAGAGAGGGAAGAGGTCAAGCCAAACATAGGAGAGCATCGTTCTGATAGAAGACGCACCTGCTCTAGCAGGCAACCTGTAACAGGGAATGAATAGAGAGGGCTGCAAACGGGGGACTGCTTGATAGATCTCCAGTTAGTGGAAGGCTGCCCATGATGGTGGATGGCTCTTGAGGCACAGAGAAGCAAGGTCATTCAAGGTCACTCCAGCGGCTGCCACTGCCTATGCAGTGAGCCATCAAGAGGGGAAGCTTTTATTTTGACATGTAGTCTTTGAGAGGACTGACATGGAGCAATGTGTAAAAAAAAATCCCTAAGCCTTTCCTGACAGCCACCGGTATGGCAGGAAGGACTCCAGCAAGGTGGAAGGAGTCAGGAAAGAAGTCAAGAGAGTCACGTCTTGGCTCAAGGGGAAACCGTGGCAACAGAAGTGATGCCAGGTCACACCGCACTTCCTTCTCTGAACGAAAGGTCAAAAATGGCCAGTCTGTCCTGAAGGCACTGAGCTCACCACCACGCCGTTCAGGAATCACTGCTAACGGAAAGGTTGTCGTGAGCGTTGGGAGGTGAAGATCAGTAGCTGCTCATGACTCGAAAGGCTTCCGCGTTAGCTGTGACAGGCCTCGCAAAATGGCCCAAAGGTCTGAATACAGCTTGGCAGAGGACAGCACCATGGATGGAGATGTGGGGAACGGAGGAGAGGCGGGTGGCAAAGGGCTGGTTAGAAGGAGCCAATGAGCTTGGCTGGAAAACAGGCAGCCGGCCTGGCAGAACTCTTGAGGACTGCCTGCGAGTGAGAGACCACCGGGAGCGTCAAGGCTACCAAACGCCAACAGCAGCAAGCAAAAGGCGGCAGACCTCCAGCTCATACGGCCTCGTTTGGTACGTGGGGGCACAACAGGAACCAGCTACGAAGGGCTGGTGAGAGTGAGGCCTGCCATTCCGTCCATGGGATCAACACAGTCCCTTCCCATCCTGGTCCCTGGGAATCCTGATGAAGCCCCCTGCTCTATGAGACTCTTTCCTCCCAGAGCGTGGAGACTATCCTCACAGGGAATGCAGCTGTTAGAGAACAGCCTGGTTAGCGTCCTCCAAAGACTGCTCCCAGGAGGAAAGTCTGAAGTGGGATTCCAGCTCTGTGTTCGAGTCCTAGCGAAGGCACCTCGGCCAACAGATCAGCCTGGGGGCCAGATGAGCCATAACCACGCAAAACACACACACTTTAAATGCCTGTATGAACAGGCAATCCCCGAACTTGCTTCACCCTCCCCCACAGACGTAGATACGCACACCCACTGCACTTTCTCCATAAGGTTGTAGTCGCCATCAAGTTGTGGCCAGAGCTCCACAGCACAGGGGAAAAGGTAAGTTGAGATCCTACAGAAGAGTAAGTACAGTAGGAAACCCCCTCCAATCCGTGAGATCAGTATCCACTGATTCACTTATCTGCTGCCTGAACATATTAAATTAAAAAAAAGAAACAAGTACAGTGGTGCCTCGCTTGACAAGGATAATCTGTTCCAGCGAAACCGCTGTAGAGGAAGTTAAAAAGCCCATTGAAATGCATTGAAACCCGGTTCAATGCATTCCAATGGGCGAAATACCTCAGCGTCCAGCGAAGATCCTCCATAGGGCGGCCATTTTCTGATGCCTGTGCAGTGAAAAATCCGTCCTGAACACAGCCGGTGGCCATTTTGAAAACCCGACAATCAGCTGTTTTGATTGTCATAATGCGAAGAATCGGTTTCCGAAGCAGGGAACCAATAGTCATAAAGCAGATTTTGCCAATTAAAACATCGTTTTGCGATATAAAGCAGATTTTGCCCATTAAAATATCGCTTTGCGATCTCAATAGCGATCACAAAAACATCGTCGTGAAGCGGATTCATCATCAAGCAGGGTAATCGTTAAGCGGGGCACCACTGTATTTGTGTTTCCAGGCTGTATTTACCAGATTTGGCCACTAGAGAGAACCAGAGACCATGCCCTGTATTTACCAGAATTGGCCACTAGAGAGAACCAGAGACCATATCATATTCGATAGGTCCACATTTTGCAACATCTGTAGGAAGGAGGCCCTTGGGACCGATCACCCATAGATACCCCGTAGATAGCAGAGGACAAAAATTCACAAAGGGAAAATAATGTTCCTCCCAAAAGCTCTTAAGTTCTAGAGTGTTCCAAACATGGCTTTGTGCAGATGCCAGACCTGTATGTATACAATAACAGAGAGTACCAAGATGAACCTCGCAAAGAGGGCCCGTAAGGAAGGGCAACCAACTTCCCACTGTTTCTGCATTCCCCGGCCAAGTATTAACCCACATCAGTAACAGTGAATTAACAGATCACATGAAGGGGTCCGATTTTGTGTAATGTACAACTTCATCACTGAAATTGGTGAGGATGTGTCTTTATGCTGCACAGGAGGAAATGGGGAAGGAAGTGACTTAAAACATGTGGACAACCACACACACACACAGAGAGAGAGAGAGAGAGAGAGAGAGAGAGAGAGAATGTGCACAACAGTCAGGAAAACCTCTTCTAACCAGGCAACTTTTCGGATAATTATTTCTCAATTCTGGGACTTCAGGTGGAAGCGAACACTCTGCTCACCCAATGTAGTGAAGCAAAACATCTGTGACAATCTTGGCCGCCTTCACAATCGGACTATCGGGCTCATTGAAAGTCCTGGCGTTGTGTTCGATGTATCGTACCTCCCACATGAGTGCGGATATTCTCCTGCAAAGAAATCTGCGTCAGGGTCGTTTTGCGACTACTGACAAACACGGGGGGCTTTGGACAAACAGTGGATGCAACAGTGACGTTAAAAGGACGCAACAAGGAGAGTCATCTATGAAATAATGGAAAAAGGAAAAAGAGAGGCAGAAACTCTTCTGCTTGTTACCAAATACCAAGTCAGCTCAAGGCAATTAAGAAGAGCTGTGGTTCACCACATCACATACACATCACGTTCTTCCCTTGAACTGCATGAATCTGGATTATTATTTTTTTCAATAAATATTCAACAAATAAATTAAATGCTGTGCGCGATTTGTCTCCAGGAAGTGGCCTGAGAAAGGCAAGTCTTGGGCTTACCTAGGACTTTGTGGCCGGCAAGGCAGTGGCCTCCAGTCTGACGGCGGCCCCCCGGCCAGCCCCCTCTCCTGGTACGGCGGCTCCACGCGGCGGCCGAGGAGGGTGCTGGGGTATGGTGGGAGGCTGACGCGAGTCAAAGGAGGTGCGTCTGTGTGTATTTCAATCAACTGTTTATGCTTTGTCGTTATGTTTTGGGGCATAAGAGTTATACATGGATTTTGAACTACATAGGGGGTCTGGTGCCCCTAACCCCAGCGTTGTCGGAGGGAGAAGTGTATTACTAATCCGACATGATACTAGAGGACATCTGCAGTGCAACCCTCTGGACAGAAACCTGAGCAGATTATGGGAAGCAAACCTCAATCCTCTCTAAACAGGCAGGAAACAGAATCGTGGGTCATAGAGGAATAAGCTGAAAGCCACATGTCCTTGCTTGTTTCAGTGGGTATCAGAGCTTCATGCCACAACCCACTACAAGTCTCAGAGTTAAGTGGAACTGGGGGGTGGGGGGTGGGGGAGGAATCCATTACTAATACTGTAGCCGAAGGACATTCAGCTTAGCAAAATTTTTGCAGTGGTTCATAGAAGGCTGATCTGTTGGATGACATGCAGCTGGTAGAAATCGTCCATCTGACCTGTAAAATCGGTTTTCAAGTCTTCTCCTTATTGTAGTGAGGTCCGTTGGATAAGCAACAACAGTGCAATACAAAGGATAGGCACTAAGGTCGACTGGGACAGCAAATGGGTTTGAAATATCTAAGAAAGAAGACGGAAACCAATGTGATTCCACAAGATGGGGCAGAAGTCATGATTAAGAAATGGTACTTGTTTGTGCCTGTACATAAACATATACATACGTACATTTAAAAAAAACACCAACCTTCTTCAAAAAGGACTGTAGCACATAATGCATTACTGCATATTGTTATATCCTTAACTAAGCCATCCGCTGAACTGCTGTGACAGGCAATTTGTAGCACAGTGGTTCAACTGCACGACTGCGGTCAAGACTCTGCTCACAACCAAGGTTCAATCCTGATGGCTCAGGTACCTGGCACAAGGTTGACTCCACCTTCTAGCCTTCCGAGATCAGTAAACTGAGTATCCAGCTCACCGGGGGCGGGGCGGGGGTAATGTGTAGTCTATCTAATTAAATGGCAAACCGCCTAGCGAGTGCTTTAAGTGCTGTTGGGTGGTACATAAGCAGCACACTTTGCTTTGTATTTTCCCTGCTATGATGTGACTCCACTAGTTAAGGAAACCCAATAGCCATGAAACACAGAGCAGAACACAAGTGAGATCTCTAGTAGACACCTGATAGGAACAAGCTGTAAATACTAAGAAGTGTTTGTGCTGAATAAAGAATAGACAGGGGAAAACCAGAGATGTGTGATTTGGACAGGAAGCAATAAAGAAAGGGTCCTGGAAGGCATATTATCTAAAGCAATCGTTTCCAACCTTGGGTCCCCAGAGGTTCTTGGACTACCACTCCCAGAAGCCCTTCACCCCTTGCTCTGCTGGCCAGGATTTCTGGGAGTTGTAGTCCAAGAACCTCTGGGGACTCCTGGATAGGAACCACTGATCTGAAGGGAGGAGAATGGAATGAAAGGTGGAGCAGGATGGCAGAGGGCAAAGGGAAAGAGGGGCAAAAGTGACTTGTGGGAAAATAAAAGGGGCAGGACATTCTCATGGCCCCTCTGCAGTTGCCTGAGGGTAGCCAGGGGAAGGAGAGGGGCATCCGAATCAGCCAGGTCAACGTCTGCCTGTAAAGCTCTGACATGTGGCCACCCTTCAAAGCCACACAAAAGGCAGCCCCAGCCGTGGCCAAAGGGCAAGGCCACTCACAGGGGCCCAAGGCTGACATGGGTTCCCTCTGCGCTTTGCTTCGTGCTCACGTCAGCCGTCCTGCAAGGTCTCCTTGACTGCAAATGCAGCCAGAGGCGAATGAATACACTGTGTATGGAAGCCACCGTCTGTTTCCATCAGCACCGGTGGGTCTGACACGAGACAGGAAGACGATCTCCGCCGTGTCGGACATAAAACATTTGGTTTTAAGTCCACCGTACCTAAGGAGAGCAGCTGATCGATGCCCCGGAGAACTCGCACGCACTCTTCGTCTCGGGAATGGGACCCCCATTCCCCTTCCTGTGGCTTGTATAGCAGGGATGCCAGCTCCTCGGTGGTAACAGGAACACCGGCGCCAACCTCCTCTGGATATGCTGCTGCAGGAAAGAAGAGCAGGGAGAACGCCAGTTAGAGCGCTCACGCCACTCCCAGCCCGACTCTTCAGTAAATGGTATTGATGCCCAAATAGGGGCCGGGATGGGGTGGGGGAGAGATAAACCACATCATTTACTTCCTTCCGGAATCGGCTCCATGTCCCAGGGGCTCATTTTCTCTCTCTCATTATTGTCCCAGCTGCCAAAGAGAAAAAAAAAGAGATTTAAATGACTCAAAATGGAAAAGATTGGTGCGGGGGGAAAATATGTGATGTTACTGCATACAAACGAGACAGGATCGCAAAGCAGGACAAATGGTAGCTTTTGGCAATGAAAAGCCTCCCTTGCCTGTTTTTTCCAAGAGCAAAAGGGAGTCCCAAAACCTAAAGCAGAGGTGGAGGGGAGGGATAGGAACTAATGAATTTATTTAAAATAAATGTTATTTCCAGGTGGTGATGACATTACCAGCTTCTGCTGTACAAAGTAATGTGGAAACTATTTTGGCCAATACGGTACAAATTTCCACAAACTGTTATAGAGAATATCCACCGTGTATCCAAGCCCAAAGACTAGGAGTTCCCTCTCATTTTACGTAGCAAAACTCAGACAACCTAAGTGTCACGTAGAGCACTCGGCATGCTGGTGCAAATGAAGTTTTTCCCTTTGATATGTCACCAGGCGGGTTCAGAAGGAAGGATTCCTCTGAAGGAATGCCGGGGTCAGCAGGAAAAAACTTGGAATATACTGCTTTGCATTGTAATCTGTATAACGGCTCCGGGGCAGAAATTTATAATCCAGTGTCTAGAGAAATCAGGATATACTGCTTTTATTGAGAAGTCCAACTCCCAAATTTGCATTGGATTCGGCTAGTTTTTTAAGTGGTGGTCCAGTCTGCTGAGAAGAAACGAGTCAAAGCTCATGCGGAAGACTGCCAGCAAGACTCTGGATAATGAACTGGCGAGAAAGGGGATGTCAAGGCATATGTGTTTATGCTTTCTCCACAAAAAGCAATGTTACCACCTAAACACCTTGCTGGGTCTCTTATTCCTTGTATTGTGACAGTATTTGGCTTTTGTGACTCACAGACTCTTCTAGAAAGAGGGAGGAAAAGGCCGTGTGGTATCCAAGGTTGCACAAATGTAAGAGTGAGAGACACCTTTATTGGACCACCGAAAATCAAACAAATTGCAAGCTTCTGTCAAGAAAATTTCACTTCTTTTCTCCACGAAAGCTGGCAATCTATTTGTTCAGTAGCCCAGTAAAAGGTGCCATCCACGCCTGCATTCACATAAGATGCTGTTTTTGTTGACGCCCTTTGGTCACGCAATGAAGAAGGAACTGGGATCAAGTGTTCCGGGTTTAGGGCAGAAGCTCCCAACCTTGGGAAGCCCAGGTGTTCTTGAACTGCAACTCCCGGAAGCCTTTGCCATCGGCTGTGCTGGCCGGGGTTTCTGGGAGTTGATGGCTGTGCTGGCCGGGCTTTCTGGGAGTTGAAGTCCAAGGACACCTGAGCTACTCAAAGTTGGAGGCCACTAGCTTTGAGGATTGGGAGACAGCAAATTTAAACTTCGGTAGGGCCATATTATCCATGAGGGATCAGTTCCAACCCCACTGCTGCAGATGCCAAAAAACATGGAAGTATGGAATATTGCATGGTCTTCAACTCCCTCTAGCTGCCAGTTCTGGTAAAAAAAAACACCTTAGAATTACAAAAAGTTATTTCTGGGAGGTGGGGCTATTTAGTATTTTCAGCCAGTGGATAAGTAAATCAGTGGATGCTGATCTGATGGACCGTGTGTGTGTGTGTCCTACTGTACCACTACCAACAGAAAGACCTGTTTGCACAGACTAGATAAGAGAGTGCGGTGTAGAACTCATTTTTTCTTGCTAGAGACTTTTTTTACATAGTAAAGGAATCATCCTTACTGGACGCTGTAGCACTGGAAGGAACTATCGGGATATTCGGACTGGAACGGCTGCTGACTCTCTACGCTTCCAAACCACCAGGCATCATCGATGATGCTGCGAAACCTGTCCCCTGAAACAGGATATTCAGAGTCACACCATGGAGACATTTAGGCAAACAACAGGGTTAGAGTCCCCTGTTTTCTGCCCAGACATTCTAATAATGACATGTTTGAAACAGACGGAGAGGTCAAAATCCATCTGAAAAAAATCACATGCACAAGAGGAACCGCACAGCAGCTTTTCTCCTCCAGCTGGACTGTCCTTTAGCAATGGACTATAGGTCCCATCTCTCCACCTGATCTCCCAGTCCGGTGTGGTGGGGAGCCTGCCAGCAGGAAGACAGGCTAAAGCAACGGCCTTTATGTGAGACTACAACTCCAAGAAGTCCTGGACAGCCCAGCGAGTGCTGAAGGCTTCTGGGAGTTTTAGTCCAAGAAGCTCTGGTTAGGAAACACTTATGTAATAAGCAAAGAGGATTCTGGCCATTTTATTTTGCACACATTTTGTCCTGTTTACAAACACACACAGTGATTTGTGAGCACTAGCATACAGTATCTATTAAAGGATATCTAATACTGTACAACCATTCCTAAAACCGGCAAGCTATGTTTAATCGGGGGCTATTCGATAGCAAAACTACACTCACCAATCTGCCAGTTCCTTTCTTTGGCTTCATTGTAAAACTGATGTAATACAAGGAAATCAATAACATCTGGCATATCATGGTACCTATGGAACAGAAAATGAAACAACTCTTTAGACGGAGGTCGTGCAACCACAAACACCTGCAGGCATGCTTAAGCCACTGTGACTACGGAGTCTTGATTATTCTTGCCAAGTTGATTACAGAAACAGCGAGCCCCTCTTATGATGCACTAGCTCTCTAAGAGAATCTTTAAAACTGCCAATTTGGGGAAAGGATTTAGGTTTGAAGGAAATGCTACGGTGGTGGCTTCTGCTGCCCCTTTGCCTGTTATCTTTCCAGCAATATTTATAAAACGAAATGCAAGCCCTCTTCTTTTCCTGTCTCCCCCTGCTCTCTGCTCTAGCTCACAGGTGGTTGCTGCAGAGAGGGTGGAAATATACGAGAGGTAATGAATGGATGTCATACTACACACTTATTTTTTCTCAATGGTAGGAAGGGAGAAGGACGTTTGGGGACAGCAGAAGGATAAGAGGAAGCAGAAGCCACATATCATCATAAACATTTAGTCCAGTCCTTTGCCAGCCACTTACTTGATGGAAAATGATTCACCAGTCATTTTGCCTGAGATTGGATCAAGAAAAGCAAGCTTCAAGCAACAAAGTGTAGGCGGTCCAACTTCGTACTTAATCCCCACAATCTTCACAAATTCTTGTTCCTGTTCGTCAAACAACAAAGGATATAAAAAAAAGGTTTTAGAGTAGTCATTGTGTTTTTTTTTTAAAAAAAATATGGGAAAGACAAAAATTTAAAGGAAAGGGGAAGAGTTAAAAATGAATCCCTTTCTATGGATTAGTACAAAATATAAAGAATGTACCATCCTCTTTATTCTATGCTATGCCATGAAGGCTTCATTCGGAAAAGCAAAGCCTCGCTGGACATGGAGTGAAAATCAGAATGGAAGGTCACAGAAAGCCAGAAAAAGGTCATTTGCAGCCTATGGGTCTGTCCATCTTTTGGGGCCTCTGGTATGACCTCCCCCCCACATTCCGGGTTCCAAACCACCCAGATAATTGAGAGAAAGAGAGAGACAGAGATTTATGCAATAAATATGGCAAATTAAACCTCCAGAAGCCTCTAGGGGGGTTTAATTCTCCACTAAGCCATTCCTCCTTCCCCTTGAGGTCAAAGGAGCTCCCCCACCTCCAAAAATGGAAGTGATCAGAAATCAATTCTGGTTGGGGGAAAAAAAAGGGCCTCTTTATGCTTAAGAGAAGCCCCTACAGAGGAGGCGAAACAGCCAAATGGCCACAAACATTTCTGGCAGCAAAACCGGGCATTTTCTGGTTTTCATTTTGTTTGGCAGGATTGAGAAGTGACATTTAAAAGCAGCAATGTAAATGTCTCAGTGGATCTCAAGTGACATGCCTGCCCATACGCCCCTGAAGCAGTTTAATCAGCAATCCAGAAGCCGAGGAGGGGGAACTCAAGTCTCAGAGCACATTGTCAAAGACTTAAATTACACCAGTGAGTTGTCTCAACCTAGGGTCCCCCCCCCATGACTTGGACTAGACTCGTGACTCAGAACCCCCCATCCCCTCCCCTTTTCTGGGAGAAAGGCTGGTTTTTAAGAGGGACTCAGGCTTGGGGCTTGGAACCGGGCACACAAGACTAGCACTCGGGACTCAGACTCAAAGACTTGCCAATATCATGGCCAGGAGCTAAACAGGTCAAGAGTGGACAGACAGGATGATCCTCCCTCATAGATCCTGCTTTTTTACAGACAGAGCTTAGAGATGACTAGTAGAGGACCTGCTTCACCTGCAGGAAACCTCAGGTCCAACCTCTGATCCACACATCCAAGGCCTGAGGCCAAGCTCTGCCTGGAAACCGGAAAAGCTGCTGGTCAGGCTTCTGCCATTTACTGAGCCAGAAGGACCAGCGGCGTCAACCCAAGAAAGGAGGGCTATCTATTTATT